CTCTTGCTGCTCTTGCTCCTCTTGCTGCTCTTGCTGCTCTTGCTCCTCTTGTACCTCTTGCTCCTCTTGCTCCTCTTGCTCCTCTTGTACCTCTGGTGTCCATTCTTCTTCCTGCTCTTCATAATCATCCTCTTCTCCTGCTTCATCCCACAGTTCGTCAGAATATACTCCTTCGATATCGTCGTAGGGTCCTGCATAAGGTTCTTCAACATCTTCGTAGGGTTCTTCATAGGTTTGTTCAGCATCCTCATACTGTTCGAATACCATTGGATCTAATTCAAGTTCCTCTTCTGATGGAGTTGCTTCTTCTCTTGTCATGGCTAAATTTCTAGAAACATTGTTCTTTATTTGTAATGTAGAAGTAGCAACATTCTGTGTCTGGAGGTCATGCTGGTGCTGCAAAGGAAGGCACGAGATAAAAGTTGCGTGTGTGCGTGTGCATGAGTTCATAACAGAATGGCAATATACGAAATAGCAGGCAGGGTAGGATAGAAGGGGGCAAGCAGCAAATATACATGCAGTAGTATATATACGATACATGTGGCATATATGTATAGCCGGTTATACAACTTTCCACTTTGCACATCCACAGTATCAATCATTTTTCTTTTGTGGTGGACTCACCTTTAAAAAGATATACAAAGCAACAATAACAAGGAGAGCCGCTGTTTTGGAGAAGAAGGACCTATGCGCCTGTTTGTCATGTGTTTTACTTCCTTTACTAGATGCGGAATGTGCTTTGCCATTTTGGGATGGCGAAGTTCCTTGTGGAACGTTGATCGTCGATGTTTGTGTTTGGTTTAGGTATACCATGTTGCTACGGATACTTATTTAAAACGGAAATATACAACGGTAGTGTGCTTTTCGCTTTTCTTTTTTTAATTACGCTACGGCTAGGAGGAAATTATGCTAAGAGAAGAAAAAAAAGAAATTAGAGAAATGAATTAACACAAAATTTTTATTTTCTTTAACGTTAGAATATAGCATTATGAGAAGTGTTGTGCTTCTTCTTTTTTTTTGTTTTTTTTGGTCAATTGAGCCATATAGGATCCTGTTGTAATTTACTTTTCCATAAATTTGCATATACATAATTATTTCTATTAATTGTGCAGAATGCCAAAAAAAAAAAAATAAAAAGAAAAATGGGAATTAAGTCAAAATAAATTATGTTACAACTAAAAGAAAATTATGCCAAAAGGAACAAAAAAAAAAAAAAAAAATACACAGCAGATACATTAGTTTGAGCTTTAGAAGAAGGAGAGGTCATTGTAAATTTTCAATATATGTGTGGGGGGGTTAGTTGTAGGGTTTTAGATGGAAAATGTTTTTTTTTGTAACTGAACCGTTACATGTATGTAGGAATATATGTAATTTACGGCTTTATTGCGTTTATACTCTCCGCCTAATGCGCTGATGGATAAAATTCTAGGTGCCTTATTGAATCGTTTGGAATGAGAATTCGCTCAATCACATTATTTTATAACGGAGATGCAAGCAAAATTTGATGTGCATGTATATTTTATCGCGAGAAAAAAAATGTTTAATTCTAACTTATGAAAGGTTTGTGTATGGAGTATTTTTATATTATGTAAAGAGAAAAATTTACATATTATGGTAACATAATTTTCACATATGACTCCCCCATCGCCCTCAGAAGGAGTAACAAAACAAAAAACAAAAAAGTAGAGAAATGCAAACCGGATATGTTTAGAATGACGAACCTTTTGAAAACAAAAAAAA